ATGTAGAGTTGGCAAAAAAGAGAAAATTATAGAAAATTTCTAAAAGTAATTTCTGTCTATGGGATTCCCATGTTAATTTTTTTATTTGCAAATAATAACTAAATATTATTATTAGTATTTAAATTAATTTTCAAAATAATAATAAATCTATTTAAATACATTAAACTTAAAATATAATTGCATGATGAGTAAAATTTTACAAAACTAATTATAATTAGTTAATTATATACATTTTATATATAAAGATTGCATTTGTATTATAATAGTACAACTTGATAATATGTAAACTTGTTATATTAACTTGTATTATAATAGCTATGAATATGGAGATCCCATAGTATAATAATAAAGTAAAATTTCTATGGAAATTTATTCTTGAGAAATTTACTAGAAACTTTCTCAGGGAAATTTATTAGAAATTTCTATTATCCCATCTCTAATTTTATGTGAGCCATACTAAAAATTTAGCACCATCATTTACTTGATAGTCATCATCATTATCATTATAATATCAAAAGGCAAACTTTTAATATAATACGTTTGCCGTAAATTAAGGTATTGTAGAAAAAATGCAAATTTATTTCATTTATCTTACAAATACAATCTTTATTATACAATACTCTATAATATATATATACAAAACTCTATAAATAAACACATTTGGTTTGAAATGATAGCGTTTTTAGAGAGTAAATGAGACATTGAAATGCTTTAAATCTAATAATACAACTTTAAAATTTTAAACTTAATTTGCAAAGTATATTAAGTTTAGTTGTGTAGATAAAAAATGTATATTTATAATAGTAAATTAAATTGCATATAATTTGCAAAATAAAATATACATAAAATTGATTAATTTAATGGCATTAGAAGACTTAAACATAATTAACAAATAAATTTCAACAATCATATCATAATAATATAGGATTAAAATGATTTAATTTTTTAAATAATGTGCACTAAAGTTAAAGTTGAATATCATTTTAAAATCATTAAAACTTAAACAATGTTTATAAAATAACAAATATTTTTTGCATTTTATTTATAAAATTATGCAAAATAATCATAAAAGTAAGCATAATATGTAAATAAAGTAAAATGTATAAAACAATTTTTGTTAACCAAAATACAATATAGTACTGTATATAATATTATATGCAATCACATGAAAGTTGATCCATAATTAAGTGCCTAATCTTTGGCCAAATTGAATGGCAAAAGTGACTCATTTCTCATTATATTATATTATATTACATTCACTTATATTTCATTTTATGATAATTCCCAACAAATGCTGATCCGAGCCGTGAATTAATAGTAAATGTGATTTGCATTTCTCCATAAACTTTATAGACTTCTAAACGTTAATACAAACATCAGATTAGCTTTGATGTGATGTGTGATCACTAATATATCTGCTTTTGATTTGTTTCTATTAAACAAAAGTTACTAACAATTTACTATAGGATACAAACAAATCTGTTTTGTATATTTTATATTATGTTTGATTGCAAATATAACATATTTTATTGTATAATAAAACAATATCTCTTATGCCATTGTAAGCTATATTAATGGTACAGTAAAATATTAATTGAAGCGTAATGTAGAAAACAATTGTGATCATCTACATGATTTATGTTAAATAGAGGGTTTATAAATATAAACGAGGTTTCACTGTAAACCAGTAATCATTTAGCGTAATATCCAATATGAAAAATAGTTATTTGTATGGATATATAGTATATTAAATATTGGATACACACAGTCATACACATCATGTGTTGGTCACTAAGCATTTACCCGCAAATACGAGAAATACATAACATATCTGACAATTCATGTATCATATGATGTGTGTGTGTGTGTGTGTGTGTGTGTGTGTGTAGTGCACACAAAAACCTGATGCAGCAATTAATATAGTGATGTGAGTCAGTGTATACACTATATATGTGGTCAACATAATATCAATTGAAATAAATGACTCGTAAAAGCAATTGCTATGAAACAAAAAGGGTCGCAAAAGTTAAAATAATTAAACCACAAACACATTAACAAAAAGGTATAATAAGTAAAGTAATATTTTATAAGTTATATAATAATGTGAAATATAGTATTAGAAGTTTAAGTATGAACTAAGCTCATTGTAATGATTCAATTGTATAATTAAAACTTATACTGTATTTATGCGTGAATTGACCAAGTTCATTATTGCTAAATATATTTTTTTAATTTTTAATAATTTATATATCATTGAAGTTGAATTAAACTAATATTGTACGGGTGGTTACAATAAAAAGAAATTATAAACTAATTTATATTTCAATTTAATAAGTTTTCTATTACAAACATTAAAATAATTCAAAGTTTATACTGTATAAAATATTAATAGATATAACACTTGAGTTTAAATTGATCAGAAATTGATAACATATTTATTTATTTATCAAATTGAATATAAATTTTGAATCTCCAATAATATTTTATTTGAGTTCTATTAAGTTGACAAAAAAATATATTAATAGTTGATCATCATATCATAGTAATGTTTATTTAGATCAAACATTATATATATATATATTTTAATTAACAGTAATTACTTCATTTATTTAATAATTAAAAATATAATAATTACATTATTGTTACTTAAAATTCATCTATGTCAATTTGCCACACTTGTACTATTTGTATGATTGTAATATTACTATAGGAATAAACAGTTTTTATTTTTGCAGTTTTAGAATAATAAAATAATTGCAACTTTAATTGAATTAATTAAATTGATTAGTCCTGACCGGGATATGTGTCGGATATTTGATTCTGAGATATAGGTATATTAGAGTAGATTGTAATACAGTATATACTGTATATTGAATAACAATGCTATATATCAATAGTAGATGAAATGTGTATACACTGTAAGTATATATTGGAAATATGAGTGCAATTATAACGTTAAATGCCTTTACGATAATTCGATAGGAATTGACTGGAATTTACTTGTCGTTGGCATCACTTATTGAGATAGTTTTGTGTACTCGACATATAATAAACTGTACAAACACTACATATATGTTGGATATAATGCCTGTCCTAACTTTACACTCGCATATATATATAGAAAATACAGTTTTTCTGTAATCCCATGTCTATAGAAATGAAGCTTTCTTTCCATGAGTTACTCAAAATTATATACAAAGAATTGGATAGTTTATGACAACTCTTTAGAAATATGGCTTTCGGTGAGACAGACAGCTCCGACATAAAAATACCACATCTCTGATGACAGGCTTATGAAACAATAAATATATAGATATAGAGATAAATATATATTAAGATTACGTGTGGACGATGTGGATGAATGAGTTGTTGGTTAGGTTTTTCATACAAACACAACTAAAATGATTACAATTTGCACTTTGGTTTTGAAAAAATAAATATATTACACATTTTATTTCAACATTTTTTTATTTTTTAATTTTTGTAAATATATTTTTAATTTTTTTTAATAATTACTATAATTATTTTCATAAATTATCAAATATTTATATAATAATTATTATTTGCTTTATCTTTTGTTGCAAATAAAATCCAGAGAAATATAGAGATCACAGAATTATAAATTGTCTTTCAATTAATTAAAACTCATTAATAATAATAATAATAAGAGTTACAATAATCGTCAATATAATAATCATAATAATATTGATGGTTTACTTATCAACTTAAAATTATATAATCAAATTATAATTGGTTGTCATCTAAAAAATAATTATTATAATACAGCAAATATAATTGTCATAATAATTATAATAATAATTGTGATAATATTTTACAATTACAATTGAACATAATGTAGATTATAATTAAAAATAATTAAAATAATTATAATTTAAAAAGTCAATAATAATAATTATTATTTAAATTAAACATAAAAATTAATAATGAATTAAAATATGGCTTTTTGTGCTTACAATGGTTTGTCTGAAAAATATAACAGAATATTCTTGATTTTTAATTATTACAACAATAATATAATAATAATAAATAAAATTAGACTTTTACTGAAATCATTATAATAAATATAATAAACCGGATAATTAACGTTTTGGTTTGGATTTCAAAATTAACAAAATCATATTTTGTCTCACTTTTCACTTGTAGCGCATATACAATAATATTATAATTTTAATAATAATTAATCGTCAATTAAACAATTAAGCAATCATTCTTAAAATAATTATGTATTTTATTAATATTTCTATATTTATAATTAAACATAAATATATACAACAATCAAATAATATTTATTAAATTTTTCTAAGAAACTTTATTTTAAATCATTTTAGTTTTAACATTTGAAATTTAAATTACGGTAATGTTAAACTATTTGAAAACTATATTAATATTGCAATTAAAGATAATTTTAAAATTTAAATAAAATAAAATTATCAAAAATTGGTCTAACAAATGTTTATAATAATTTATATTTTTAATAAATTTTTGATCAGTTTTATGCAACTTAATAAATATTAATTGTTTGTTGTATATATATATATATTAACTTTATGTAATTGAAAATCACTTGTATCCTAATAATTAAAAAAGATATTAATATTTATAATAATATTAAATAGTAATTCAAATGGAAATTTAAACATCAATATATCACTAGCAATAATTATTTTATAATTTTAGGCATACTATAACTACTTTATTAGTTTTAATTGTTTTTTAGTTTATCAATAAAAGATTTGCTTTAATATACAAATCTAATTGATAGCCTCTCTCTCTCTCTCTCTCTAACTTTCTATAGACACAAATAAAATCTAACATTATTATAGTTTAAGTTAGTATTTTGTTGTTTATATAGGCGTTTATATTATCATATCATTTATAGTACCAATTTTTAAATAATTTCTAATTTTTTTTGTAGATTTTTCACAATTTTTTATAATCATCTATACATTTCACATAATAAAAATTATTAGAGTATATCAATAGTAATAATTAATAATAATAAAATAGTAATAATCATATAATTAGTTCAATGTCTAAGATATAGGCCTTTTCGCATGATTTTAATTTCATCATATTATTATTATTTAATAAATAATCTATACTTTTATTTTATCTTTTAATGGGTAAATAAACGTTAAACATAGATATCCTGATGAAAAATTAGTTTACTCTAATATTTTAAAAATTATATTTATTTAAAAAAGAGCGAAACAAATAAAAAAATAATTAAAAATCACAATTTGAAATCTCCTATTTTTTGTTAATTTTTTAAAATTTGTTTTTAATAACTTTTATTGATTTTTCATATATTTTTAAATATATGTATATTTGTGATATACGTATCGGTTTTTTGTTTGTTTGAAACATCCATATAATTGTTGTTGACTGGGAAAGGTATGGTGTGTTTTGTTGGGTTGTTATTTGTAGTGACGACTGCTGTGTATGTGTTGTAAATGTTTGGCCACTCAAGTCATGTGTCGCATAACAGCTCTCAAAGCGTACAATAGTTCCGCTTGAAGTCGGGCTTCAAATACCATTAGATTTACATGAATCTGATGGCACACACATTGGGAAGAAAAATATATATAAAAATCTTATGAGAAATATTGAACATAAAGTTATGCTAAATAATTGACTATAGGATCAAATTGAAGGAAATGAAAGACTAATGCCTTCAAACACATTGAATGAGTGAAAATAGATTATTATATATAAAATTACAATCATTGCTAAGGATTATGAAGTTTCCGACAAATATTGAGTTATATATATATATTTATGTCAATTGCTGGTCATATTCAACATTAATAAGTAAATGCAAAAGTTATTTGTAATTAGTTTTGATGACAAAGTTAAGGAAAGTCTACCTTTTCGGAAGTCCTAAAACCACGCATGACTTTATTGAATTCCCTGTTATGGCGGACCCGATGCGGGTAACAACACAACGACTTTATGTATGCCTTGAGGTTTCGCTCGACTAATAGATTGACTTCTCTGTAGTCATAGTCGTCATGTCTGATGCCATACATTGACTGAATGTAGTTCCAGATGGCTCTTCGGAAAGGAGTCGTATCGATGTTCGTCTTGTTTCCCATACTGTCCACCAATTCATACAAATAACAAACAAATCAAATATTAATTATATTTATGTCATTTAAAAGTCAAATATTTAACATTATAACCAATTTATTATTAATATAGTAAAATACTTGTCGATAACATTACATTTTTTAATATTCAAAAAAGATTGTTATAAAGTTAATATAATCTAAAATAAACACTACAATTATCAACATAAAAATATTTTCATATATAAATTATTTTTAGAATATTAAAATCAATGACTCCATTAGTTAGGAATAAAAATTAAAAACTATATAAACTGTGAAAATTGTTTGTGTAATGTTTGTTAATCTCTCTCTCTCTTATAAATCTATTTCAAGCAATTGAAAAGAAAGAAAGAGAAAAACTTCTAAAGAATCGAAAGAATAATCAAAATATCAAAGAATTTGTTATTTTTCGAGAGTAATGACATTTATTTATAACAAACTTTTCATTTTGTTTGTTGTTTATGTGTTGAAGTTTCTATCTTTTGATACAAAACCAAATTTTTTATATTGCATTTCATGAATACAATGTTTAGTCTATTAAAATAGTAAAAACAAAAATAAGTTTTTATATTCATTTATTTAAATAGTTCATATTAAAATTTTCATATATAATATCAAAATTTAAATGTAATTTGTGTATGAATAATTAATGCAAAATTCTAATGTATTTATATTATACATTTGATTTAAATTAATTTTAGTTTACACAATAGTTCATGTAAAACAAAATTTTAGAAATAAACCTAAACTTTCTTTTCAGAAAATAATTTTAAATAATTAGTAATAAAATGAGTTAACACTAAATAAAATTTTAGTTAAGTAAAAAGCAAAATAACAAAAAACAAAAACTAACACTTTTCGCAACATATTTTTGAAATGCAAATTTATTTATTACAAGTAATAATAAAATGTGAGAAAAGATTTATGAATAAAAATAATTTAAGTTTATTTAAGAGACATAAAATGTAAGACAAATGTCTCAAATAACCAACTTTTTGATTGCAATTATCATTTGTGAGAAACTAAACACATTGGAAAACGTGTGGATATTATTAGACATTCACAGAATATTCTTGTGTTTCAAATTATTTGTGTTTCTCTAATAACTTGAGAATAAATTATATTTGAAGGCAAATGTATAAATAATTATATTTTACACATTTCTGGCAAATGATTAATCGTTGTGTTAAAAGTAAAACTATATTATCGCAAAGTTTTTGAAAAATATTGTCTTTTATTACTCGTTTATAGTTAAAAATGAAAGAATAAACGTTTTATATGCATGTCTTATGTTATCAGTTTGTCATTTGGCGTATATTCTGTGAAATAAAGTATAAAAATAGACTAAACTATAACTATATACTATAGTATATGAATTCATATTATATAAAATAAAAATATATATAAACTATTATATTTAAAAAAAATATGTGTTGTTGCTATCCAAATATCGTTAGATATAAAATGCTAAAATAGTGAATACATAGTGTATATTGAAATTTAAGTGTAACGGCAATACTGGCAATAAAATTGTAGCAAATATTTTGGCAAAATATTCGCCGGTTTTTGTGATTTATATTTTTCTTTATATTTTATTTCAATCAAACCGTTTTGCTGTCAAAATTCAATTCTAAAGTAAACTTAAATTTTTGTTTTACTCTTTTTTATTTTACTGTTTTGTTGGCATTTCTGGTATGTATCAAATAAGTTGAAATTTTTGCGCTCAAAAATCTCTTATAAACAAATTCAATGTATTTTTATTTAAAGAAAAAGCCAGAATATACAGTATATTTTCTATAGCTTTATATATTATAGAAATATATATATTATAAACTCAGGAAAAGGCATATATAAACTCAAAAATCTCTTTTGAAGGGAAACTAAAAGTAAAAATATAACCTTTTTTTATATAAAAAGAATATCTAAATATCACATTCAAAAAGTCATTTATCAAAGCAGTAAATGGCAAACAACAACAACAACAACATTGAGTATTCAAAAAAAACTAATACAAAACCTATTGATTTAAACCAAAATAAGTTTTGATAAAAATAAGCGCACATTAATCATACTTTAATATGATATTCGTAAATAAAAATTGATCATGATAACTTTCAAAAATAACTACACAAACATTATATATAATATAGATGTTAAGTGTAATTCATAACACTAACAAATAAAACTATATAGATCAATTAAAATTTTAAAAATGTTTTTTAGTTAAATTAAGGTCACGTTATTTGATTATTTTTTAATTTAGATATTTTTTGGACTAAGTAAGTGGACTAACACTTAATATCTTTAAATGCAATTATCATTATATGAGTGATTGTAATATTTGTCACTAATGTTATTCATTATATTGTTAACATACTGTACAATAGACATAAAGTACAGTACAATACATTTATATTGATATAGCTTTTTGACAATTATATTTACCGGTACTATAGTAATTTAATTAATATAAGTTTATCATATATGTGCCACATCAATTAATTTACAAAAAATTATTAATGTTTATTGTAAAATACAATTATTTATTATTTTATTTATTGTGTGTACCATAATTGTTTATTTTTAGTTAGGTTATAGTAGATGAGATAGGTTAGTTTTTAATTATAATTAATAGTGTGTTTGACATAAACTTGATTGTTTTAAAATAGTGAATGATTGCGCCACATATAGCCTACTATAATATTAATAGTTTGTTTAAAAATTTACTATAATATTATTAAATATAGTTAATAATAGTCATATATTTAATAAATTAATAAAAATTTAAAATCAATAGCAAAAATAAAATGAATACTAACGTGAAATAAGTGAGATTATAGCAAACTTTGAACTTTTCGTCCAACAAATTGCCGATATCTGAGTACAATCTGTTGACGAGACTAAAGCCGTGGTCGTCCCACGAGTAGTCCTGAACGCGAAACGTCGGAAAGTCAGCCTCACGACGGCGAGCAAAGTCCTCGTACCCGAAGTGCGGATCGTCCATAAACTTGTTTAACTCACTCAATGACTTGTCCTCATGTTGTTGTTGTTGCTCCTGACCGCCCGATGCCGAGACTGTATTAGCCTCTACAGTAGTTCCGACAGCGTTACTATTGTTGCTGTTATTATTATTATTATTATTATTACTAGTATTGTTGGCGCCGTTACTATTAGTGCCATTTCTATTTGTAATTTGGTTATTGCCTACAGGTGCTGATCCACCGGTGCCGGCATTGTTAGCGACAAATAATGGTGAGTGTTGTTGCTCTTGGCTGTCATACTCTAATTTTTCAAAATTCTTTAACAGGTCCTCCTGTGAGGCCGTGTCCTCAGCGGCGGCAACGACGACGTTCTTCTGTTCATTAATAGTCTGCAATGTCTTCATCAATGCCTCGACTTCTGGTCCGGTAGTGGGAGAACCCCCGAGACTGGATGGTGAGGGCGGCTTATTTGTGTTGGTCGTGTTGTTGACTACCACCGGGTGATTATTTGTGTGACCATTTTCTTTATTGTCTCCACTGTCAGCACCGATATTACAACCAAAGACAAAGCTGGAGAGCGCGTGGAAGTGGGACAGGATTACGATGGCGTGAACCAACTCAGACAATGACCACGAATCAGACCCTTTTGTCAACTTCTCAATATGTGATCGGCTTATAAGCCATGGCTGGTGTGCCAACAATTTGTTGATTTGGTTCAGATCTTTAAGTTTTTGCGGAATGTGATCCAAGCCTTGAAGCCATTGGGGATCACCACCCGATGATATAAACTCATTGCGAGACATATTCACCAAATATGTGCACTGATGTCGAGCCGATGCCATAATTGCTATATATTGACGGGTCGGATACGAAAGCGGACCGTCACCTCTCAATATAAAGCTATGGGCCCTCACAAAGGGGTCCTTATAATTGGGATGACATGTTATCATTTGCGTCACATCATTGTCCATATAGTCCCAGTTATGGCTCTATTCATAACAATATACATATCATTATTTAAATCTATTTAATTATTTTTATATTCAAATATAGTATATTTCGATTTAAATATGAATATACATTATGTAATAACTATTTTTAATGTTTATATATGTCTATTAATTATATATTAAGTGCAATGTTTTACTAATGAAAACTTTATCAAATGCTTTTTAGCAAAATTTTAATTATATAATACTTTAAGTAAGAAAATATAAATTATATATTATATAATATCCAAGTTATAACCGGGATTATCCCAATTTTAAATATATATTTTTAATAATTTATAAATTTATATTATATAATATATATAAATGTATATAAAAATAATGTTTGAAAACATAATATGTACGCACAGTCGCAAAACCAGTTCAAACTCATAGACACCGACACCCGGCTCATTGTGTTGAGCCCTGTTGTCAGGCAATAATCATATCCTATGAGGAAAACAGTGGCATAACAGAGACTTACAATAATTGGGTTTCAACTAAATACTCAAATAATTTATTTTATCAGTCATTAAACAAAATATACTTCAAAATTAATGTAATTKATATGTGGTTCATATTAGTGGATATTTTTGCAATTATTACGTACACTATATTCAGTATAACTTATTTATTTGAACGTTAAATAAGAATACATTCGTCTATTTGGTTAACAATATGTTGAAAACTGTGCAAATTATTTGTTGTTAAACCTAACACTTAATGGTTTGGGTTAACCCATGTTAACGATATGGTTAAATTAATTTAGACATTTTTTGGCCATAATTCAAAATATGGTTGTCTTTATTTATTGGTTTCCTCACTATACAGTATAATACTATAGCAAATATCCGTATAAAACAAGTCTAGTATTTATTATATATCGAGGTCTAGTAGTTTTCAAGAGAGAAAAAACACTTGAATTATTTTCAATGTTTAGTTTATGACAAACTAGTATTTGGGTCCAAAAAAAACTGTTTGCACCAAAATATATTGAAATAAATTGCCAAAAATTATTTTATCTATTTCTCATAATTTTCTAATTTGGCAAAAATTAACTTTTTTAATGCTTAAAAATCAACTTTATTTATGGCATATCTATTGCAAATGTGTTAGTTTTTACATTTATAACAATTTAGTGCTATTTTGACAATATTTCGCTAATAATACTATTTTATTATTAAGATTTATTTGAAAATATTATTACTGTGTTTATAAATAAATACATAATAAGTTAGTTTATATAATACTAGAATTATACTGTAAATATCAATTGTGTATACAATTGTATTAACGTATATGTAAAGTAATATCAACAATAGTGACATCCATTGCAAAATCAATACAACACTAATTATTATAAAAAATAAACTTACTGTACATATTTATATTGATATTTAAAATAAAATAAAAATAGACATGTAACAAATCCAAGGTTATTGAGTTGTCATTGTAATAATTATTTTTTAATTATGGAATATTCTTTAATTTTTCTATAAATTTATCTGCTAGATAATTATTAAACCATAAATCTAACTATAGTTAAAACAAAAATTTACAATATTAAAAATTTAACGGAATCAATTTATTTATGTAAATATAAAATATAATACTGAACAAAAAATGAGAAAAATCAATAAATTAAAATTAAGCTATATCATTTAAAAATATTATATGCATTTATAAAATAATTGAAATAAGATTATTATACTTATATGTTATATTATTATCTATATATTGATAATTTTATTACTCATTGCAGTAAACACATTAATTGAGAAAATAATAAATTGTTAAAATAAATTTTAGCCAAAAATTGCATCTCTTTTTTTTAATTATACATAAATATATAATGACATCAATAATAAACATTATAAAATAAACAGTATATAATGTATATATATTTGATATGTATATACATATTTAAAAATGCCATTATATGATATGTTTGTAGTTATTTTTAGTACAAAATAACATACATGTCTACGATATATAACATAAACAATTTTTAGCCAAATATATCATTATTAGTTCAATACGAGGGGTTAACATAATTAATCATAAATAGATGTCAAGCATATGTTTAAATTAATATATTTTGTGTGACTTTATATAATCTATATAAAAATCGAGCTAGTTTAAATGTAAATTATATATATATATAATATAAATATATTAATTCAATGTAATGGCTTTTATTATATAAAATATATGAGACACGATATATGTGTACTACATATACAGTATCATTGCTATGATTTATAAGCAAAATATAAAAAAAATAATGTTTTTTAATACATACCATAATTTATATGTAATGTAGTTATTTTGTGTTATAAAAATATTTTTAATTTGTTTATTATTAATAAAAAATATTTTCACCAAGTCAGTTTATTAAAAACATAGTAAAAACATAGACTATACTAATAATACGTAAACAATATCATATTATTATACACTTATCAATTATATCAGTATTAGCTTTCAAATGGCATTTAAATACGTCTAATAAAATTTATAATATATTATATTATTATTATTATTAATAATAAGTTATACACATTTGAAAATAAAAATCAATTTGTTTATTAATAAGTGATACTATGTTTAGACAAAATTGCAACAAGCTCAGTTATTATTATTATTAATGCAAATAATTATATAAAATATTTGTTGTTTTATTATTAAATAATAATTTGATATAAATGTAAATTTTGATATATTTGTAATAAATATAATTAAAGTCACAAACAGATCATACCATAGGATTCACTCACTTTCACAATACATATACTTTGAGTGTATGTGTTATTTGAATGGTATTGGTATTAGATGTTAACAGTTTCACAGCTACCAGACAACTGGTTGGGCATTAGTTGCCTACCAGTGCTCCACACATGTCGTGTTTGAGCACTCGAGTACTCAACTGACTGACTGAGACTGTGGAGGACTGAGGGCTGTTGTGGTACAACATTGCAGACATTCAGCACAGTCTCAGTCCATAACACAAACAGCTGCTTAACCGCTAGAGACCGATAGCAATACTATTGAATGCTATCATTACTTGAGCTATGGTTTGGGTTCACCGTCACTGCAAACGGTATATAAGGAACCCGACTCTTGTTATATCTGTTTTAACAATAAAAATTGATTTGAAATTAATTTAGTTTATGTCATACCTTTAAATACAATTAACAATTATAAGTCTATACTTTTTAAAAGTGGCAAATCTATAAATATATCTATTTTTTCAATTGATTCATTGTTTAGCTAAAACTTATAATTATTAATAATTGAGTGTAATATATGCCAACAAAATTGTTTTAAGTAATTTGGTTTTATAACAAAATTACATATTAATAGTTAATGTAAATAATGTCAACTTATGCTAACTTATTGTATATTTAATCAATTGTTTGATAGTTTGAATGATTAGTGAGTACTGCCTGACAACAGGGCTCAACACAATGAGTCGGGTGTCGGTCTCTATATTGGTTTTTTAGGTTTAACCGGTTTTATGACTTGCGTATAACACATATCATATACAACTGAGTTATGTTTGAGAATTATTAGTCAATACAATGATAGACCCGGTATTAGCCGTGGGATAGCCAGGTGTCTACATGTTATATAATATATATACAGTAATATATATAAGGGTTAAACTAGATATTTGATTTGATATAGTATATGAAATTATGTAATTAATTTTGTTGTGGACAACACTGATGTTATCACTTATGTTTTGATAGGTTTCATCCCAAAGTCAACTAACAATATAACAACAAAATTCATAACATTTTGCTAAACATGTTTCAATTGGTGGCACTTATGGTATACACGGTATACACAGTATATACAGTACTTTATACATAACTTTAGTATAGAGAAAAAATCAATGGTTTCTATATTAAAGAGATATATCATAACTTGAGAGTATATAATCATAAATACTTTAAACATTATAAGGAATGGCATTTAAATTAATATGATTTGATGATAATGTGAATAATGGTAATAATGTTAGTAATGTTAGTATCATTGTATTGGTATGTATTTCTTTTGAGGGGATATACCAAATAAGAGAGTGATTGTTGGTTCACCAAACACGGTATGTGTAGTAAATATATATTGATTTCAGTGTACATAATATATAAGTGCTTATATAAGTAGAGTTAGACTGTACTACCATTGGGTGACCTTCACTGACACAGTGCCGGCTGTTTCCATGTTTTCTCTCGCAAACACTTTTTTATTACCAAACCTTAGATTTGGGTTTGAAATACATTGTAATAACCAAACACTAAGATATGGGCTCAAGAAGTTGTTGATGAACAATGTATGGCACACATTGACAGTCAGAAAGAGAGAAAAAGAGAGAGAGATAGACAGATAGATAGACAGATAGACAGACAGACAGAGAGGGAGAGCAGAGAGAAAGAGAGCCTTAGAGATAGTAATATTTATTTTATTATTTTTACAGCTATTTTCAATTTCCCAAATATTTTATATTTATTTTTATATTTAAGATATTGTTTTTGTTAGAAAAGCGTAATTGAAAAATAGTAAAAATAATTTATTGTTGTTGTTATTGTAATGTTAATTTATATTTTTTAACAAATACAATTGAATTGAATTTGAAAACATACATACATTGACAATAGAATATACTGTATATATATATATACAGTATATTATTTATCATGTTTAATTTTTGTACATTTATTGTTTAGAAATGGTGTTACCAAATATATATATATATATTTCTATGATATTTTACAGTATGTATACAATATGTATGCCATATATATACTAAAATTGTATTTGAAAAATAAACCAATATCAAATACAGCATAAAGTGAACATTACATTATACAATATGTTATCATTGATAGATTACATATCATTATAATAAAATTTATATATTGGTTGAGAGACTGATATAATTTATATATTAATTCCTCATTTGATAACAAATTTATAGAGATTTTATGACATTATATACAATATTATACATTATATTATTATAAATATAACATATTTTTCTCTATACCACTATTGATAAATATTTGAAGAATTATATATATATAAGACATTATACATACACACTGACTGAACGCGTGAACAAATATTTTATATCATCACTGATAAGGATTGTATGCAACTATAAAGTGTGTTCAGATAAGAGACAATATAATATTATATGTTTTATATATACAGTATATATACTGTATATTATATGTATTTTATTTTAATATTTTAAGAATCAGTCAGTATATACAGTATACCGTATATATGTGAGTGAGTGAGTGAGCAAATAAATTAATGAGTTAGTGAATAACAAATTGTGCTATAAAAGCGAAAATCATTGTTCAAAATTTACTAAATAAAAGTTTAACATTGCTAAAAATCTATAATGCATTACAAACTAATTGCATTACTTTAGCTAAAGTACATGTTATATAAAAAGGAGAGACAGAGAGAGAGAGAGAGAGAGAGAGAGAGAGAGAGAGAGAGAGAGACTCCGAGAATGTAAAGATATAATATGTCTGAAAATCATAAATGTTGGTAACAATAAAATGACTCATTATATTGTTATATTAAGTGTAATTTTCTTGAGCATACATTAAAATATGTTGATAATAATAAAAATTACCATGTTGTTTTGTTGTTTTGTTGTTATATGCGACTTTTATATTACTTTTATATAATATTACACAACATTATAGACTAGATTAGTACTACAGTCTTATTATATATAATTTTTTTAGACAACAGAGAGTCTATGTATTATTATATTATATATACGATATTATAAGGCATTCAATAATATAAAAGAAAATTATATTTATATTTCTTTTATATTCTTAGTTTAAATAAAATATATTTTCTATGAAACTTTATAAAAGACATTATAGTAGACATACAGAGACATACAGACTATTACTAATACAGTATTTGCATAGACTATAGACTTGTATTTTATTGATTTTCAATTCTTTTACTTTTATTTTTAGCTCTCTCTCTCTCTCTCTCTCTCTCTCTCTCTCTCTCTCTCTCTCTGTAATACTATGTAATTGTTGCTATAGCGTTAGCGTTAGTCATTTACCTATTTTTTGTAAGCCTGGATAAAACTGTTTGTGACAACAATACAACAAACTGCCCATACTTTATAAGTTGTACTATAAATGTAATTGGTTGAGATTGTCAAGACATTACCAGAGAGCACAGGTATCTTCACATACACCAACACACACCATATAACCATACTATTATCAAATCATTATTATTTAATAAAAATTACTATAAAATAAAATATTTTGAATTTTTGTTACATCTTATTACATCATATTATATAATATTTTGCTTCAATGTAATAGCTGTGTGTAATTTATTAGGAGTGTCACACACACACACACACACACACACACACACACACACACACACACACACACACACACACACACACACAAACAGTACATATACATACATACAATATGCTGTCTATACATATAGTTAGATAACTTAGAAATACAGTACATTTACAATACCAGGCATTCCCTAATGCCTTCCAACCGATCCCTAAAAAATTAGATATATTTTTCTCTCTCATACCAATCGATTTGAATGAATAATATGTGATATTTATGTACAGTTTTGTTGTTGTTTTATTATAACTTTTAAAAAATATAAATTTGCACTTTTATTTTTTGTATTGATTTGCATTATGTAAGTTTTGCTTTTATAAAAATAAAAATATAATGTTAAGTAAATTTTTTAAAAATATTTCTTGAAAAATTATAATCACATATAGAAAAGTTTTTACAATCATAATGTTTATTTTTTATATATTTGATGTAAAATTATTAGTATAATTTCATTAATTAAAAAAACCTGATTAAAAATCATATTTTGGTGACACACATGATGTGTAAATATTTCTATAATACTGTAATATAAAAAGTTGTTAGAATAACAATTTTATCGTTTTATAGCATGATTTATATTTTTTCATTAATAAGTGAAAGTTTTATGCAAATTGTTGCCAAATAATATCAAAGTTCATTGTCATTATTTTATAAATTGATAAATAAATATACGGTATATCGTTTACCACACATATTAGCTTTAAAATTATATATATATAATGTATCGAATATTTTACTGTATATACTACTATGTAGTAATGATAATATAAATTTATGCAAAAAATTATTGATAAGCTATATAGTTATCAGTATTTTTGTCAATAAGTTTTTTTGTTGACAAAATCATTGGTGTCAGACACTGTCAGTCGTATAAAAGTCATAACGACTCGTATATATAAACTAAAATGAAACTCAGATATATTCAAATCTAATATTACAAAATTATCCAAATTGACATAAATAATGAGCTTATCTAAAAACATAAGTAAATATTAATTTAGGCTATTTATTGTATTAATTAA